TCACATTATCCACAAAAGAGATAGTTTTAGTACCACATTGCCCATTCTGTTTCCTTCATTTTGTTTTTCTTCTATTATTGTTTTTGCTAGTGTTTCAAATACAATATTCAATAATATTGGCAACAATGTCATCCTTGTTTCCCTCCTGACCAATATTATTGGGAAGACTTTTTGCTTATCTGCATTACAAATAATGCTTCCCTATGGTTTTAAGTAGATGCTGCTAATCATTTTAAGGAAAAATCCATTTAAACCTATGCATGCAAGTGTTTTTTCCCCCATTATTTTATACCCAGAATTTATTTGGGGGTTTTGTTTGTGTTTTAACATGCATAATGTTACTCGTTCAGAATCAGTTGTGTCCAAACATTAGCCATTCCGAGCCCAGTGTAATTCTGAATAAGATGAACACAGTCAAACATCTTATTCAATAGTTCAAGTGTTTTTTTTTTAATAGGAATGAGTGTTGTATTTTATTGAAAGCTTTTTCTGCATCTATTGGTATAATTGTACAATTTAGTTGCTTTTCTTATTGATATAATCAATTATGTTAATAATATTCTTTATGTCAAGCCACACCCACTTTCTTGGTATAAATCCCATTTGGTCAAAATATATAATGTGTATAACAGTGTTGTAGTCCCTTAGGTGTTTTTGCATTCACATTCATTAATGAAATTGGTCTACACTTTTCTTTCTTTGTTTTTGTTCTTTCTGGTTTAGTTATCAGTACCATATTTCTTTCATGAAAGGAGTTTGGTAGGACTCCTGTGTCTGTTATTCAAATGATTTATTTGATATTCGATTAGTTGATCCTTAAGTGTTTAGTAGAATTCACTTGTATATTCTTCTCATCTTGACACTTTTTTTTTTAAAGGAAGCTCATTTATGGCGTGTTCAATTTCTTTTTCTAAAATAGGTTTTAGATATCCTTTTTTGTCTTTTGCTAATCTGGGCTGCTTATATTTTTATTATTATTCTTGCATTTCACTTAAATTGTTACATTTGTTTGAATGTAACTGGGCAAAATAACTCCTTATGATTGCTTTCATATTGTCTTAATTAGCATATTCATCCTTAACATTTGTAATGCTAGTGATTTGGTTTTCTTCTCCCTTTTTAAAAAACAAATTAGCCAACAGTTTGTCCATATTATTTTTTTCACAAAACCAACTCCTAGTTTTATTTATTAATTCAATGGTTTTCTTACTTTCAATTCTATGAATCTCAACTTTAATTTTTAGGATTTTTATTTGGTGTTTAATTGGGGCTTTGTAATTTGTTCTTTTTCTAGTTGCATACCCAATTTATTGGTCTGCTCTTTATTTTATTGATATAAGAATTTAGAAACATAAAATTTCCTGTAAGTATTATTTTTCTGGTATCTTGTAGGTTTTGATATGTTGTCTCATTTTTGTCTTTCTCTTTGATAAAATTACTGATTGTTTCTATGATTTGTTCTTTAACCCACTCATTCTTTGGGTTGTTTAGTCCCCAACTAGTTTTTAACCTGTGTTTCCATGGTCCCTTATTGAATGTAATTTTTGTTGCGTTATGATTTGAAAAGTATGCATTTAAAATTTCTACTTTTCTCCATTTGTTTGTGAGGTTTTTCTGCCCTAATACATGGTCAATTTTGGTGTAGTTACCATGTCCAGCTGAGAAAAAGTTGTATTCCTTTCTATTCCCCTACAATTCTCTCCTGATATGTGTTATATCTAGCTTATCTAAGATTCTATTAAAATCCTTTACTTCTTTCTCATTTATGTGTTCATTAGATTTATCTAATTCTTAGATGGAGAAGGTTAACATCCTCCACTATTATAATATTGCTATCTATTTACATCTGTAATTCATTTTTGTCCTTTACAATTGTCCTTTACAAGTCTAGATGCCTCTGGTGCATCTAGGTTTAGTATTGATATTGCTTCATTGCCTATGGTACTTCTTATCGTAATGTAGTTTCCCTGTTTATCTTGTTTGATGAAAGCTATTTTGGCTTGAACTGTGTCTGGGATCATGATTGCCACCCCTGCTTTTTTTTTTTTACCTCAGCTGAAGCATAATAAATTCTATTACAAATCTTTATTTTAACTTTGTGTGTATTTCTCATTTTTAAATGTGTTTTTTTGCAAATAGTATATTTTCAGATTCTGATTTTTAATCCATTCTACTGTTTCTGTTTTCTGTAATTCCACCCCATTCACATAACTATTTATATATTTCCCTCCATCCTATTTTTCCTCACTAGTATCATTCTCACCCGCTCTTTTTACCCCTCACCCCTCACACATCTGATTTACTTCTAACCACTATCCTAATTCTCATCATTCTAATTATCTGTCCCTTAGTCTTTCCCCTACCCTTCTACTTCTTGATCTATACATGGCTTTTTCTTTTTTTGTTAATTTATTTTAATTTATCAACAATCATTTCCATAAGCTTTTGAGTTTTAAATTTTTCTCCTCCTCCCTGCCAACTACCCTCCCTAAGATGATGCACAATCTGATATAGGCTGTACATATACATTCCTATTAAACATAGTTTCACATTGGTGATTTTGTAAGGAAGAATTAGAACCAATAGGAGGAAGCACAAGAAAGAGAAAACAAAACAAAACAGAAGAAAAAAAATAAGAAATAGTATGCTTCAATCTGCATTCAAACTCCATAGTTCTTTGTTTGTATGTGGATAGCATTTTCCATCATGAGACCTTTGGAGATATCTTAGATCCTTGCATTCCTATGAAGGGCTAAGTGTATCACTGTTAGTCGTTGCAGCACACGGCTGTTACTGTGTACAACGTTCTCCTGGTTCTCCTCTCTTCACTCAGCATCAGTCGATGCAAGTCTTTCCAGATGTTTCTGAAGTCCTCCTGTTCATCACTTCGTATAGTAAAATAGTATTCCATTACATTCATACACCACAACTTGTTCAGCCATTCCGCAATTGATGGGCGTCTTCTCAATTTCCAATTCTTTGCCACCACAAAAAGAGCTGCTTCTGTACATCCTTCCAAAAGTCCCTGACTTGCCCTATCCCCTCATCCTCCCATTTCTTTTTAAGTTTAGAAGACTTTTATAGACTTCTAGATGTATATGTTATTCTCTCTTTAATCTAGCTCTCATGAGAATAAGGTTACAGCACTACCAGGCTCCACCCCAACCTGCTTCTAATTCATGCTTCATTTGTATGAGATAATTGCTCCATTTTACCTACCCCATCCACTTTTATTTTTTAGAACCCTCACACCATATTCAACTCAACCCCAGACTTTCTATGTATGCTCTTTCAAACTACACAAGTACAAAGTACCCAAAGATAATATTCCTAATAGCAAAGATAACATTTTTTCATATAAGAAATAAATAGTTTGGCCTTATTGAGTCTTTTATAAGGGGTCTTTAATGTTTGCCTTATGTTTGTCCTGGATCTTACATGGCAAATTTTCCATTGAGTTCTGGTCTTTTTGTCTCAAATACCTGAACATCATTTAGTTCACTTAATGTGTATTTTTTTCCTATTGAGGATAAACCACAGCTTTGCTTGTATACCTTGTGTGCAAACCCAGCTCATTTGTTCTTTGCAATATGATTTTCCAAGCCCTTCAGCCTTTTAATATAGAAGCTGCTAAGTCATGTGCTATCTTGACTGTACCTCCACAGATTTAAAATTGTTTTTCTTTTCTTGTTGCATGTTGTATTTTCTTCTTAACCTGGGAGTTTGAAAACTTGGCTGTGATATTCCTGTGAGTTTTCTTCTTGGGATTTCTTTCAGATGGTGACTGATGGATCTTCACAGTTTCTCTTTTACCTTCTCCTTCCAGATCTTAAGGGCTATTTTTCATAATAATGTCTCATAATAGTGTATCTAGACTCCTTTTTAAAATCATAACTTTGAGGTATTCCAACAATTCTTGTATTGTCTCTCCTTGATCTGTTCTCCAAATGAGTTGTTTTTTTATTGGGATCTTTCACGTTCTCTTCTTTTTCATTCTTTTGATTTTGTTTTATTATTTTTTGATGTCTTATGATGTAATTAGCTTTTTCTTGCCCAATTCTAGTTTTTAAGGTGTTATTGTATTCCTTAAATTTTTAAATATCATTTTCTAATTGGTGGACTTTTGTTTCATAATTTTCTTGAATAGTTCTTATTTTTTTTTCTTAAATTAAAATTCTGTTTCTTATAATTTTGCACGTTTTTAGGGGAGGAAGCAACATTAATTTTCAATTAGTGCTTCGCTTTTAATCTTTGGCCTTATGCGAGTAGAGGTGGAATAATGGGATTATTGGTTTAAAGAGGTGAACTTTTAAGTCACTTGCCTCATTTCCCTCAAAAATTTATATCTAGTATATTTAGAAGCATTCCCAGTTCCAGAAATTGCATTTGTGTGCTTGTCTTACATAACACTTATAGTGTGGAATGTTCCTATACTTTGGTACCCTTGTCAATTTGCTGAGTATAAGATGAAAGCTCAGAATTGTCTGAATTTATATTTCTTTTTACCATTAATGATTTGGAAGATGTTTTTATGTGGCAATTTATAGTTTGCAATTCTTCCTTTAAAAACATTTTGTTTATATCCCTTGACCACTAATCAATACAGAAATGTGCATTGGTTTAAGATAGTTGGTTCAGTTCTCTATATATTCTGGATACCAGACTCAATGAGGACATTTGCTATAACCCTCCCTCTTACCCCAACTTGAGAATTACTCTTCTTATTCCATTTATGTTGAATTTTTTAAGAAAAGTTTTTGAATTTGATGCAAACATGATTTAAATGTGTTTTTGAAGATCAATTCTTTTTGGTTTTGCTTAGAATTCGAACTTTGTTCATAGTTGTGAAAGACCCCTCCTCCCATTATCCTCTAATTTCTTGATTATGTGACCTTTTTATTCATGTTGCATATGCATTTTGAATTAATATTATGATATAGTTTAAGTCATTGATCTAATTCTAATTTATGCTCATTTCTTTCCATTTTCCTTAGCACTTCTCAACTAGAGAGTCCTTTCTGAAATGGTCTCTTGAGATATGAGAGAGTAGCAAAAGACTTGTGAATTTGGGTGTCAATGGTGATCAGCATGAAAGGGCTGACTATTGGATAAAACAAGGAAAGCAGGACTGTGAAATGTGGCCCCCAGTGTCTGGTTTCTCTAGCAGAAGCTGTATAAATGATGAAAGGTGAACTGGCTGAGTTAAAGCAGAGAAAGGTTATGGCCAGCATTATGATGGCTTTGGCGGCGCTAGTCTCAGGGGAGGCTCTGGAGGAGAGACTGATGCTGTGAATGTGCTGGACTTGCTGGCTGTGTCTGTGCAGGACAGACACCATGTAGCCACTGGAGCCAATCATGAGACCCACAAACACAGCATCAACAACTGTCTCACAAATTAAAATTTTCATAATGCTTGTGGCTTGCAAGTCAAAAGAAATTTGCCCAATCCTCCATCGCGCATTACTGCTGTTCCCTACACTGCTATAATTCATAGGTGCAGCAACATCAAGAAGAAGACTGAAAATCCAGCTCAGGCTACAGCAGGAAGGAATACACTTTTGGGCTCTTGTTTTAACCTCTGCCCACTTAATGCTGCTGGGACTGATGGTGATGGCCTGGAAGACACTGAGGAGACAGGTGTTGCAAAGAGAAAGACTCTGGGTCACTCTTATGAAGTAATTTAAGATTTTACCCATTGTCTCATCTAGGAAAGAATTCCATCCCCAAGTGTTTATTATTATAGTAATGCCCCTTAAAAGAATCATCAAGACATGGGCAAAGGCCAAATTGCTGATTATTAGGCTTATCAGTTTTTTCCTGTGACCAGTGAGGTACTTAAGGCCATGTAGATAAAGAAGGGTCATGTTCCCCAGGATTCCAAACGAAAGCATAGTGAAGTAGACAATGCCTAGGCCTTCTTTAATGGAGCTCATTCCTTGACGCTTTTGGAGAGCTTTGCTGTCAGATCTAAAGTCACCTGTGGAGAAACACAGGGGAATGTGATTTTTCCATTGCGAGTATTTGTGAAACATATATTTGTAGTATCAACTCACAAATATTTATCAATCCTGTACTGAACATGCAAGTAACATACCTTTCCCTGTTGTCTCCAAATCATGCCACTGCTCTTTGGTCATGATCATCACCTCCTTCCCACCAGTACCTTGGACTTCACCTGGGATCATCAGCTGTGATAGGTGAGCTTTTGCCTTATCTTTCCAGGGCCCCTGTCTCCAGGTCACTTCCTTTCCATTGCTTCACCAGGTACATTTCCCAGCACCCATTTCTGTAGTCTTCAATTTTTTTCTTCTTCCTTTAGAATGTAAGCTCCTTGAGGGCAAAGACTGTCATGGTTGCTTCTATTCTTATCACTAGTGTTCAGTTCCTGAAATGTAGCAAGGGCATTTTGGTGGTGTTTTATATAATTAGAATTTGATGTTAATGAATGAAGGGTGAAGGTGAAAGCTTGGGTCACCTTCACTTTTTAAGGTATTGGATTTTATTGTTTGATGTAAAAAAAAAATTAAGTTCTTAAAGAGGGGTGTGTGTGTGTGTGTGTGTGTGTGTGTGTGTGTGTGTGTACTAGAGTAATACCTTCAGGCAGGAATTAGATTCCCTTGGAGAAAGGGTTGGGCAAGATTACTTAACTACCTATGTCTCTACTCTAATCATGTGCCTACACATTTCCACAATGTTTTCCACAAGCCATATGGAATTTCACATTTTTTATAGTTAATGGATGCATTGCACATAACGGTTGTGCCTGAGATGAAGAGTATATGGAAGCAGGGAAAGGAACAGGCAGTTTAAGTATTCAATAATCTTCATGTGAACTGCACCAAAGAACTGAACATTTTCATACAGGTACATACACATACATGTACATACACATACAATTAGAAATACTTTAAACAAGGAAATTGGTAGGTTTGGGGCAAAGAAGAGGGAGGCAGAAATAGGAGGACAGGTTTTTCAGAGAGTGTTCATAAATTAACTCCATCATTGGAAGCAGTGGACTCTTACAAATGGATTAAAGAAAAAAAAAAGAAAGAAAAAAAATCTGTGATGGGGTGTGATAGGGAAGAAAAGGGCAGTGAAGCAGAAAAAGATTGTGTCATTTATAGATCATATATCTGAGTGCTTTTTACCATGGTCTCTGTAAAGAGGGGAGGAAGAGAAAAAAACTAATAGGGGCAAAAGGGCAGGATGAAAGGAAATATAAAGTTCACATATATAACTGTGAAAACATGTGGGAAGAACTCACCCAGTGAATGGAAGAGGAGAGTAGAATATTTTACAAAGGTGATTCCAACAATATATTATTTAAAAGAAACACCTTTGACTCATAAAAATCATGTAGAGATAAAATGGAAATCTGGAAAAAATTTATTATGCTTGTAATAAACATATAAAAGCAATGTAGCAATCATGATTTCAGAAAAGGCTATGGTAAATTTGAGATGATTAAAGGAGATAAGCATGGAAAAATATGTTTAATGATAACAGAAAAATAAATATCAAAGACATAGCACATTAATTAAACATGTATGATATACATTAATCATATAAGTACTTTTGCATATAGAATCATATATGGATATACAAATCTACATGTGTAATATATATTTATATGTGTATAAATATATGCATGTATACACATAGAAAGACAAACACCAATCATCATAGTACTTAAAATACTTAAAGGGCAAATCAATAAAATTGTAGGGAGAAATAGCCAATGAAATTCACATTTGATGACCTCACTTCTGAGAGATATAAGAACAGATTCAAATTTATAAGAATTAGGGCCCTTCTTGAATGGATAAATTGTAAAAGGACATGAACAAATTGTTCTCAAAGGAAGCAATATAAATTATCTATCTATCTATCTATCTATCTATCTATCTATCTATCTTTGTTATAATGTGTAAATCTTAAATAAGTAGTGAATCACAAATTAAAACAATACTTATGTTCCACATTATGTTAATCACTTTGGCAATGAGTTCAAAATAGAAAGATGACAGATATTGGAAGACCTGAGGGAAAATGGGACATATTAATGGAGCTATGAAGTGGTGTTTGGAAAGCATTTTGGAAAAATACCTTCTCTATCACCAAACTGTCGTGTCTTTTGGCACATAAGTATACCTAATAAACCTATACCACCAGGCATCAAAGTAAGCAGAAAAGGACCTGTGTATATAAAACTTTTATAGCATCTGTTTTTATAGTGGGAAAGAACTAGAACCTAAGGGGTTCCTTATAAATTGGGGAATTACTGAACAAAATTATGGTGTATGGATGTAGTAGAAAACCATTGTGTTATATGACATGATGAAAGGTATGGCTTCAGAGAAACCTTGGAAGATTTATATGATGCTGGGTGAGCAGAACCAGAAGATAAATTCATACAATAATAACATTATAACATAAAAACCTGGGAATTTAAGAACTCTGATCGTTGTAAGGATCAATTGTGATTGTAGAGGACTGACGATGGAGTAGAAAAGAGGTGACTGAATCTCAATGTAGAATTACGCAGACATTTTTGTTCATGGACAACATAGGAATTTGTTGTACTTTATTATGCCTCTTTGTTACAAATATTGTTTCTGTTTATTTAATGGGGTGTGTAGGACATCATTGAAAATTAAAGTTAAAATGTAGTTGTGAACCTCAGTGTACTCTTTTCAAATTCATAGAAATCTAACCAAAAGATAAATAGCAAAAGTTAAGGAAATGAACAGAACTCTAGGAAATTTAGGGACAAGAAATCTCGTAATTATTGAATGGAAGAATTAAGAGGTAAGTATTTTTCTTAGTTATTCATGGCACCATTACAAAAGAAACCAAAGTCTTGGACATAAAGGTCTCATAAAAACAACAGCTAGCATTTGTACAATAATAATATCAATTAACTAATAATAATGCAGCATGCCCAAGCACTGTAAGAATTGCAAAGCATGTTACATAAGTTATATTATTTGATCACTCTGAAAATCTGGCATGTGTATGTTATTACCGTTCTCTCTTCAAAGTCCCTTCATTGAATAAAATTCTACTGCATTGTGGTCAGGTATGATGGTTTTCTAATTCTCTGCTTCTACATTTGATGTGTCAGCTTAGTGGTACAGTGGGTAAATCACTGACCTGTAGTCAGACTTTTGAGTTCACATCCTGCCTCAGACACTCCAGATGAATCACCCTACAGAAATCATTTAATCTCTGTCCATCTCAATTTTCTCATCTGTAAATGGGGATAGTATAATAACATAATATGGAAATAGAGATAACAACATAAGCATTCCAGAGTTTTATAGTGATCACATAATATAACTTATGCAACATCGTTCCTGACTTTTGCTGAGGAAAGCATGTAAAGAGAAAAGTTTCCCTTATGGACTGCTTAGGTGCATCCCTTAATCACATCCCACATGTTTTGGGATGGCTCATTGTTATAAAATACTTTAAGGACAATTTCTGTTTGTGTAATTTCTTCTTTAATCTACCAATTCCTTAGCATGAAAATATCTAGCTCATCTGATAAGAGTAAAAGATCAAAATATTGGAAACAAAAATTGAGCCAGGACTTATGCAGCATATGAAAAAAATCCAGAAAATCATCAGCATTTCTATATGTTTTGATAATCAATAAAATACCTATTGTTTCTAAGAGCTACTTGGACATCTACCAAGAAGTGCATAGGAATTAAATGAATATAATTATAAAATGCTGTTTATGAAAGTAAAAACAGGCCTTAAAATTGGAGAATTATCACTCATGATAAGGCTGAGAATATTATAAAAATAACACACCCTAAAATAATTTAATTCTTCAGCAACATGCCAGTCAAATTTCCAGAGGATTATTTAATCTTCCTGAATGTGGAAGAAAAAAAGGTTAAGAATCTCAAGAGAACTAATGAAAAAACCTGGGAAAGCTGTGGGCCTTGCAGTATAGATCTCAAACTATACCATAAAGCACTACTGATTGCAATGATGTGGTATGGTGAAAAAAAAATTGAGGGGAAAATCAATGGATAGAGTGCTCATACAGGAATCAGGAAGACCTGAGTTCAAATCCAGCTTCAGACACTAGCTGTATGACCCTGGATAAGTCACTTAACTAAATTTCTTTCAATTTCCTCATCTATCAAATGAGTTGGAGAAGGAAATGTCAAATGAGTCCAGTACCTTTGTCAAGAAAATCCTAAATGGTTTCACAAAATGTTGGAGCAGACTGAAATGACTGAACAACAACAAATGAATGGAACCCATAGTTTACAGCAGAGAGAAGGAAGCTGACTTTGTAGCCTAGAATTTGATAAAAGTATGTATCCCAACTACTGAAGTAAGGACTCATTTGATAAAAACTGTTGGAAAATCTGAAAGTAGTCTGGCAGATGTTAGATATAGACTAGCGTCTTATTGCTAGTGGGTCTACCCACCTCAAGCCTTTCCCCTCTCCAATCCATTCTCCCTTTAGCCACTGCAGTGATTTTCTTAAAGTATGGGGTAGATCATGTCACTCCACCTACTCAATAAATCCCAGTGGCTCTCTATCACCTTCAGGATCAAAAGCAAAATGATCTTTTTGTTGTTCAAAGCCCTTTAAAACCTAACTCCCTCTTACCTTTTCAGTCTTCTTACACCTTACTCCCCACCATGTACTGATTTAGTGTCCCTGGCCTCTTGAGTTTTCCAGACCCTCTCTTGGCTTCCAGCACTTTCTGTGGCTGTCCCCCATACTTGGAGCTCTCCCTCCTCTGTTGTGACTACTGACCTCCCTGGCTTCCTTTAAGTCCCAACTAGAATCCCACCTTCTACAAATAGCCTTCCTCAATGTCTCTTAATTCTAGTGCCTTTCCTCTGTTAATTATTTCCTGTTTATCCTGTATGTTGATTGATTTGAATGCATTTATTTGCATATTCTCTTTCCTGTTAGATTATAAACTTCCTGAAGGGAAGGACTCTTTTTGCCTCCTTTTCTATCTCCATCACTAAGCATAGTGCCTGGTACATAGTAGGAGTTTAATAAATGATTATTGAATAAATGATAGAATCACAACTAGGTCTTATCCTCCTTTGCTTTTTTCACATATTTGTTTTGAATCAGACTAATTTATTCACATGCCCTTAATATAAGTTGTATAATCCCTTTCTAGTTTTTAAAAACACAAGAAGTAATATCCCAATAATGGCTGTTGTTTGCCCCCTGGTACCCTCCCTTTCAGCCGTTATGGTAGAGAGACTCTGACTCTTTCCTGAAAAAAAAGATTGTCCTCTACCTGATTTTCCAATTACCTTCAATGCTCATATAGGATATGGAGGACCTCTTTATCCACATCTCTTCAGGCTTAGAAATTTGTTGTATTTTTTGATTTTCACAGAATAAATATTAATTGGGTACAGTCATGAGCTACTAGGCTGTATTTCTATAGGAGTAGGAGAGCACTGTATTAGGAATCAGGAAGAATTGAATTCAAATCCTTTTTTAATACTCCTGAAAGAACCTGGCCAAGTCACCATAGTCTCTCAGCCCCTGTTTCCTCCTCTGTAAAATGGGGATAATAATAGCACTCACTTCACAGAGCTGTTGTGAGGACAAAATGAGATAATATATGTAAAGCCCTTTGTAAACCTTAAAAAACAAAAGAAATTCAGCTTCATCATCATCATCATTATCATCACCATCATCAATCTTTGTTCCTTGACCAACACCCAGAGCTCTGTACTCAAAAGGGGCTAAATAAGCAGATTCATAACTAAAAATCCTGTTGCCCAGGGCAAACATCACAGAAGGTGTTCTGGGAAGGCAAATCCTTGCAGTCAACTTTTAAAGGCAAATCAGTCTGAGCCCGTTTAATGAAAAGGTGAGGCTCTGGAAGATGACTTGGACCTCAGAACACAAAGACCCATGCTGAGTGAGACTCTGTGGTACCAATCCTGGATATGGTGTGGGGATAAAGTGAAATTGTTTCAGGGGACAGGTTGCGGACTCCTTAGTAGTTCTTGTGGGGGAAGGAAATGCCTCCACTGGTACTCTCGTATTGTACATAGATATTTTTGCCTCCTAGGTTTGGAGAGGTAATGTCGTCTGTCAGATTGAGGACTCGCTTGGGGTTAGTTCACCCTCAGTTCAAGCCCTGCTTGTGATGTGGGACTCTGGGAGAGTCAGTGAGTCTCTCAGCAAACTCCAAGTTGCTGGAGGATGGCTGATCTGAATTGGGAGAGGTTATTTCTACACTGAGAGCCTCCTGAGCCTTTGAAATCACAGGCTCACATCAATAAAACTAGGAATGAAGCATACCTTATTTCTGTGAAGGAAAGCACTAGCAGTGTGATCTGCATGTTCTAAATCACAGCATCTTGGGACACTGCCCCTTCCACCCTGTCTTTGTTACACTTCTATGAACAAACTGTTTCTTCAGGAATTCTATAGGTGACCTCCCTAAAGGCAGAGTAATGGTTAGAGTGTGGGAGTTGGTGTAAAGGAGACTTGAATTGAAATGTGGCTTCAGACATTGATTGGCTGTGTGACCCTGGGCAAGTCACCTGACCTCTGCCTTCCTAGGTTGCATCATCTGTAAAACAAGGAAAATAATAGCACCTATGTCTCTATTGATCTGAAGACCAAGTGAGGTAACAGCTGTAGAGTACTTAGCACTGTGCCCAGTACATAGGTGAGGCTTGATAAATATCTCTTTCCTCATTCCCTTTCTTCTTGTGTTGGAAGATGGCTATTCAAGTGAGTTTAAAATTAAGAAGAAATCCTGCCCAGGCTTATCACCAAATCCCCAAACACACTGAAACAAAAGAGAACGAGATTTTCAGAGATGAGATTTTTTCCCTACAAGGCTTCTAAATTATTATTATGTGAACCAATCAGCTTAGTCTTATTCAGTAAATGTGTCCATATGTTCTGGCTGTGAAGGTCGGCTAGATCATTTTGACATGTAGGTTTGTCCCCCCAGAAGCTGCCAGTTCTGAACAGGGAGAATCTGGTAGATGTGGTGGGATCAATCTGTTTGATGCTCAAGGAACAGAGGAAAAACCAAAGAAAACAGAGCAAAACCCCAAACTCTAGTCTTTCCTCTGTTAGGAGAATGATCCGTCCTTGGAATCTAAAGTCAGTTTTTTTTACAGTGAGGAAATTGAGGCCCAGGGTGTTAAAGCGACTTGCTCAGAATTTGGAGACAAACCTTTAGTCCCAGGTTCTCTTACCTGAAATGAAGTGCTCTTCCCATTAGACCAGGATGCACGGACAGCCACTGCCTGGACAGACAGGGAGGCAGACAGACAGAAAGAAAGCATGCTTTCTCCTCTTTATAAAGAGAACTGTGTAGACTGGAAGAAGAATTACAGTACTACTCCCTGACTGAAGGTGAAATATTTGGGATCTAGGGAGGGTCCTGAACAAGGATAGAGAGGAAAACAGAAGGGAGATATGGAGGAGACATCTATGAAGCCTCAAAGGCCCTGGATCCACAGCAAACTGGCAGGATCTGAGTGCCACACTGGCATAGGGCAGCTGCTGGGAAAGGAAGTGTGTACTAGCACTCTCTGTTTCTGAGGTTAAATCCTCTTAGCATCTCTCACCTGAGTGTTTTCTGCTGCCAGGGCTTGGGACAGAACTGCAGAAATCTGTGCACATATGTGTATGTGGGGGGCATATCTGTAGTTATAGGGACAGCAGAGCCTGAGCTCATTTCCCCCAAGAGCTATTATTATTATTACCATGCATGGGCTGGAAAAGGAACACTTGACAGAGCAGGGAATTTGAGATGTGTCTGAAGAAGAAACAAACTCTTGCCTCAGGTGACTGTCTCTGTCAACAGTAACTTTTGATGAATGGCCATCTCCAAGGGGCCATTTGGGAAGAACTGAAAAGAGATTTTTCTTTGGCATGTTGAGAGAAGTGAAAGTTGGAATCTGTTAGGGTCATGAGAAGAGTGTGATGTTAATCATTTAACAGACAGTGCTGTGGAAAAAAGAGTACTCTGGACAGACTTTTAAATTTCATCTGCATTCTTAACATTTTCTCCATCACCTTCTTAACTAAACAAGAAGACAATACATCAAACCTTGATTTGTAGAATTTTCCAATTTCTGAGGTGTAAATGATGACATTCTAAGTTTAATAATCAGCTTTCCTGAGCTGGCTTCAGCAAACCCCTACTAAGGCAGATCTAAGCTGGGATGCTTGTGATATGGTGAATGAAGGGCCCTTTGCCGGTATTCTGGGGCTTCTGGTGAGCTCTCCTGTAGGAATTCCTGACTGTCCATCTTGTAAAAGCCAGTTAGGTTTCTTTATTGTACCACTTTGTGCATCCAGGATTGACTCCCTTCCTATGGAAAAAATGTTGGGGACAATAATTTATATTTCTAACTAAATTTAAAATTCTCTTAGTGACAGTATGTTGGGACGGGATCAGTGGTGGTGATGGATTATGTATGACCTGAATATGAGTTTCATAACTTCATAACTTCCCAACAGAAGGCCAGGGTTTTCATCCTATCATGTGTTATTGGTACTCACTCCCCAGGCCATGTGTACCAGGTAATGTCTCTCCCAGATGACATGATTTCCGTATTCACAACATGCACCAAGCTGTCTTTATCCCCACCCGGGTCTTACAGATCTTTTGTTTGAAGGGCATCTCTCTTGTTTCAGTTCATTTATAGAGCAGGGATGATTGACATGCTCTGAAGTAAATGAATAATCAGGATATTTTTGTGTTTAGTTTCATTCTAAAATCATAGTAATGCTTTTCCTTTTTTGTGAACTAGTTTATTCTTTCCCAATTTCTGGTAAAAAAACACTTTTTAAACAATTATTTAAAATTGGATTTAAATTCTCTTTCTCCGTCCACCTCGCTCCTCAATGCCTTTCTTATGAGGTGTTTGAAACTGACTGATACCCTAGAATTTGTAGTCTGGAGGAGAAGCATTCCTTTTTATCCCTGAGTATAATTTGTACTCTCAATCTATTTGAGTCAGAATGCAGAATTGAGTCACTCCTTGGAATAAACCTCACCTCCCATAAATGTAGGTTACAAAATGGGGAAACAATTGAGAAGGACCTGGGACTTAAGTAACTGAGCTGCAGCAGAGGTGAGAGAGGGCAAGGTGGGCCCTTCAGGGACATAAGAACAAGGAATTCAAACTAGTGCTGCTATGCTCTGAGCTGGCCCTCTACCCTGGTGTCACAGAGCTCTCCTGCCAATCTCCTGTGCTGTCTTAGGCTGGAAAGATGTCTCACTCTGACCTTTTGCTGGCTCTGCCACTCCAAAACTTTACTTGAGGCATTATTTTAAAGTTGTTTGATGTGGAATGTTGGGAGAGGTCAGGGAAGTCATGGCCTGTGGTCTTCCATCTTGGCTCTGCCTCTTTATATCACTTTCTTTTTAAAAGATTTTATTTTTAATTTAAGAAATAAAACAAACATTTCCATAACATTGTACAATAAAAGGATGATTGTAGATGAAACTGCAAATCTAGTATGCACAAGTAGGTATTCCATATAAATATACAACAAAATTTTCATGTACATTTCTTTTTTCTCTCTCCCCCCACCCCCACTGTAGAGATGGCTACCATTAGACACAAATAAGTATATATAAATAGGAGTATTCTATACATACTTTTATTTACCAATTCTTTCTCTGGATGCAGATAGCATCTTTCTTCATATGTCCTTTCTAGGTAATTTGGGCATCTATAATAGACAAAATAACTTATTTGCTCAAAGTCATTCCTAAAACAAATTGGTAGTACTGTGTACAATGTTCTCTTGGTTCTGCTGATATCACTTCATTATTTTGTGCAAATCTCTCCATGTTTTTTGAAAATCATTGAACAGATCATTTCTTATAGCACAGTAGTATTCCGTCACAGTCATATACCATGACTTGTTCATTCATGGTCAGTCCCCAGTTAATGGGCGTCTCTGTAATTTCACGTTCTTTGCCACCACAAAGAGAACTGCTGTACATTTTAGAAAATATAGGTTCTTTTCCTTTTCCCCTAATCATCTTTTGAAATAGACCACTCATCATTTTTTAAAGGGGATAAGAGAAGTATTGGTATTGCTGCGGTGTTACTAAGTCAAAGGGTAAAGGTAATTTAATAACTCTTGGTGAATAATTCTAGATTGCTCTCCATAGTAGTTGGATCATTTTACACTTCTACCAACAATTAATTAGTGTCTCAATTTTTCCACTCCAACATTTGTCATTTTTCCCCTTCTATAATTTTAGCCAATCTGGTAAGTATAAAATGATATCTCAAGGTTATTTTAATCTGCATTTCTTTAATCAATGATTTAGAGCATTTTTACATAATTATAAATTGTTTTGCTTTCTTCTTTGGAAAACTCCCTGTTCCCGTCCTTTGACCATTTATTAACTAGAGACTTGTTTCTACTAGATTTGACAAAGTTCTTTATGTATTTAGACATGAGACCTTTATTTGATAAACTGTCTATAAAATCCCCCCACCCCCATCTTCTGCTTTTCTTCTAATGTTGGTTATATTTGTGTTATTTGCACAAAACTTTTAAATTACTTTATTTTTACCTTATTGTCAGGAGAAAATATACCATTGTGTTTTTAGTTTTGTACACATGTCTATAAAAGATAAATCATTAGTCATCTCTTTTAATCATCATCTTTTGGAGAGGAGAGATTTTTGCTCTTCATCTTTCCTTCTTGAGGAGCACCAATGACAACAGCAGGGTGATGTCTTGACTTGTAAGTGAATTGGGTTTAAGTGAGGAAGAGCTGTGCAAAGACATCAGCCTCGCTCTCCCAGTGTCATTCAGAGTCCAAAGGCAGGTTATAGGTCAGGAGGCGTGGAGATGGCCTCAGATGAAGTGGGGGACCTTGGCTTTTTAAGCTAAGGTCTTTTCCAGGTCTCAGTTTGTCTGAGGCAACATCCCTTCTGTGATTAAAGGCTATGTAAGAATTGAGGCAAAAAATGGCCCAGTTTGCCTTTTGAAAAGAATCAATCTGGGAAGGGAAGACCCTCAGCGTTTCTGTCCAGAACAGAAACAACTGCTATTTACACTCACTCTGAGCCATAAAAATACATACAATGAGCAAGTGAGGCTTGGGCTGGGCTCTCTTATTGGCCAATCAGTGAGGGGTAGAGTGATTTTGGTGTTTTTTCCCCACTGTTTCATCTATTTTTAATATTCTTGGAATTATTTTTAATTAATTATTTTTAGTTTTCAAGGTTTACTTCTACAAGATTTTGAGTTCCAAATTTTCTCCCCATCTTGTCCCTCCCCAAACCCAAAATAGCATGCATTCTGGAAACCCCTTCCCCTAATCTACTCTCCTTTCTATCACCCCCTCCACCTCTCCTCTTATCCCCTTCCCCTTCTGTTTTCCTGTAGGGCAGGCTAGATTTCCATACCCCATTGCCTGTACATCTTATTTCCCAGTTGCATGTAAAAACAATTTTCATCATTCATTTTTAAAACTTTGAGTTCCCAATTCTCTCCCTTCCTCCTTCCCCAGCCACCCTCATTAAGAAGGCAAGCAATTAGATGCAGGTTATAGATGTGTAGTCACGCAAAACACTTACATAATAGTCATGTTGTGAAAGACTAACTATAATTTCCTCCATCCTATCTTTTTCTCCCATTTATTGTATTCTCTCCTTTGACTTTGTTTCTCTTCAAAAGTGTTTGCTTCTGATTGCCCCCTCCCCCAATCTTCTCTCCCTTCTCTCATCCCCCCCTTATCCTCTTTTCTCCCTATTTTCCTGTAGATTAAGATAGACTTCTATACCCAATTGAGTGTGTATGTCATTCTCTCCTTAAGCCAAATCCAATGAGAGTAAGATTCATTCATTCCCTCAAACTCCTCTAAACCCCTCCACTGTATAAGTTTTTTCTTGGCTCTTTTATGTGAGATAATTTACCCCATTCTACCTCTCCCTGTGATTTGGGTTTAGAGACATAGCCAAGTAGCTCCATTTGAATCTCAATAGGCCTTATCAAAGCCTTGTTTTCCAGAGCTATATTTTAAGAAATCATAAATGAACATAATTCACAAGAGGTAATGGTCTGTTTTTTTAATAAATAATGATAAAATAAATAAGTGGGTAAGACAAAAATGAAAAAAAGGTCTTGCTCCCAAACCCCAAAATATCTTCTTTCTTTTTTTAAAATTTAGTTTTTTATATTCCCCAAAAACAATTTTTAATATTTGTTTTTAAAACTTTGAGTTCCAAATTCTCTCCCTTCCTCCTTCCCCAACCTCCTGTCATGGAGAAGACAAGTAATTCAATATAGGCCATACACATGCAGTCATGTAAACCATTTTCATAATAGACAGGTTGGGAAAGAAAACATAGACCAAAAAACACTCAATAGAAAATAAAAAAGTTAAAAAAAAGTATGTTTCAAACTGCATTCAGACACTATCAGTTCTTTGTCTGGGGATGGATACCATTCTTTATCATAAGACCCTGAGAGTTGTCTTGGATCATTGTATTGCTAAGAACAGCCAAGTTATTCACAGTTGATCCTCACACAATATTGCTATGACTTTGTACACAGTACATTTCACTTTTCATTGGCTCATGTAAGTCTTTCCAGTTCTTTCTGAAAGCATCTTGTGTATTATTTCTTATAGCACAATAGTATTCCATAAGAATCACGTATCACAATTTGTTCAACCATTCCCCGATTGATTGTTCA